CCAGCCCTGCAGAATTTCTTAAAAAGAAAAACAACATATACAATTCAGAAAACATCCTGTGAGTTATAGGTAAATATCTTATCAGATTTTTTTACCAGACTAAAATCCTTTTGATAGAGAGTAAGTCAGATGACTTTGTTAGAAGTATTCCATTCACATCTCTCAAACTAAGGTAGTTAAATTTTTCAGAGTCAATCAAGTGTGTTTCAGTATTTGAACACATATTCCACAGTGCTCAGTGGACCACGAGCCAGTATTCTCAACTAAACTTTGGGGAGAGGTTTGATTCAAAGGTAGAGGGCTATGGGGTGTGACTCAATGTAGAGTGCTTGCTTAATGTGTGATGCCCTAGATTCAATCACTAGGACCAAGAAAAATTCTCATTTTTATTTGTATTCTTGGTTCCTTCACCCTTAATTTTATCATACCTGTAATGTCCCAGCCTTTTTAAATTTTATTCCTGATTTAGTACCTATGTTAGAGAAGCAGGCTAAGAACTGATTTACCCAACCCTCACTCCAATTCACATGACTACTGAAAAATCCTAATGAACAAGACTATTCCAAATATTTTTTTTGATTCTCCAGACCCAGTGCCTAACTGTGCCACCCTCACCTTTAGAAAATGGAAGGATAATCCACTTAAGACTCTTTACTTTTTTTGAGAGGGAGAAAGGGATACTGGGGGACTTTACCACTGAACCACATCCCAAGATCTTTTTAAGTTTTGCTCAGAGCCTCACTAAATTGCTGAGGCTGGCTTTGAATTTGTAATCCTCCTGCCATGGCCTCCAGTAGTTGCTGGGATTACAGGCATGTGCCACCATGCCCGAGGTCCCCATTTTATTTTTTGATAGGACATCACTAAATTGTTGATGCTGGTATTGAATGTGACCCTATACCTCAGCCTCTGAATTCACTGGGATTACAGGCCTGTGCCACTGAACCTGGCACAGGTCAGCCTTGAGAGTAAACCCTAGCAGCAAAACATGAAAAGTATGAGCAGATAGAAAATAAGTGGGCAAGCCTTTCATCCCTGAGGTAACTTGGTCCAGTTCTTAAAGACATTTTATCTTTTAAGTCAGATTTCTGTATCTATTCTAGACAAAGCAAGTTAATTAAGATATAAATCAGATCCTTGTCTTCCACAGCCAATCTGGCAATGACCAGAAAAGAACCAGTTTCTCACTGTCCACCAGATGGCACTGGTCAGCACTGGCTTTTATAAAAGGAGGCACACTTCCCACTTTAAGGTGAAAAAAAAAAGTCAGGCGCAGAGGCTTGGAAGACTGAGAATCACAAGCTCAAAGCCAGCCTCAGCAACCCAGTGAAACCCTATCTCTAAATAAAACACAAAATAGGGCTGAGGCTGTGGTTCAGTGGTTGAGTGTCCCTGAGTCTGAAGCACTAAGATTCCATGTTCAAAGCTAATCTGGGTCATTTAGGAAACCCTGTCTCAAAAGGGCTGTGGATGCCCCTTGGTGGTAATAAGCTTGCATTCCATACATGAGGCCCTGTGTTCAGTACCTACTACTAAACAACAAACAAAGACAGCAGTGGCACACTCCTATACTCCCAGTGACTCCTGGCGGCTCAGCCTATGGGCTGATACAGTAGGATCCTGAGTTCAAAGTCAGCCTCAGCAACTTAGTGAGGCCAAAGAAACTTTGGGACACCCTCTCTCTAATAAAATATACAAAGATGCTGGGGATGTGACTCAATGATTAAGTGCCCCTGATTTCAATCCCCAGTACCAAAAAAAAAAAAAGACAAGGCATTTAAGTTAAACACACATTCAAGCTTATCCAGTTGACCTGTGAATAAGGAAAACAACTCAGTGAGACCCTGTATCTAAATTAAAAAAAAAAATAGGGCTGTGGATGTGACTCAGTGGTAGAGTGCTCCCAATTTCAATCCCAAGTACAAAAAAAAATGTATGTATGTATATTTACACATATACACATAGAATATACACATATGTAAATAATATATTTGTATGTGAGACACAAAAGTACCCAGTGTAAAAAGCAATAGGTTCCTGTATTTTAATATCTTGAAATCACTTGAAAAAAATATGTGCATTTCAATAATCCTGATAAAACACTAGAGAAGAAAACAATTTTTGAAAAAAAAAAAAATGATTTTTTTTTTTTTTTTTGTAACCGGGATTGAACTCAGGGCACTCAAACACTGAGCCCAGTCCTCAGCCCTATTGTTACATCTTATTTAGAGACAGGGTCTCACTGAGTTGTTTAGCACCTCAACATTGCTGAGGCTGGCTTTGAAATAAATATTCTCCTTTTTCAGCTTCCCAAGCCGCTGTGATTACAGGCATGTGCCACTGCGCCCTGCAAGAAACTGATTATCTTGCAAATAATTTCCTCCTATCACATTTTTTTAAACAAGATTTCCAGGTTGTATGGATTACCATGGCAATATGATCTAGATAAAAGTATTATTCCATACTATTGAGTTTTTCAAAGAAATGTTTTCTGAAAAGATGAAAATGAGAACTCGGGATCAGGCATTAACACTCAGTTACTTATCTGGATTCAACAGGTAAGTCCAGGAGGACTGCCAAGCTTGATGCAAGCCTGTAATTCCAGTAGCTCAGGAGGCATAGACAGGAGGATCAAGTTCCCAGGCCAGGCTCAGCAACTTAGCCAAGACTCTATTTTTAAAAGGGGTGGGGATGTGGCTCAGTGGTTCAACACCCATGTTCAATCCTTGGTACCCCCCAAAAGGAACAGTACAGTGAGAGGCCACCACTAAGAAGAGACAAGACCCACCTTACTCATACAGAACAAATTATTTAGGGGAAGCAAGGTATTCTAAATCCCTTTAAGTGCCTCATACTAAACAGAAAATATGTAAGAACACCTAGCAATCCTAGCCAGGAAATGTCCAGAGGCTACGATTGATGTAATAAAGAAAAGAAGCATTATTTAAATCTACCCTGGAAGGTATTCTGCTGCAAAGTAACCATCACAGTCCTAGGCAAAACACACATAAACCAGCAACTCAGGAAGCTGAGAATTGCTTCAGGTAAGCCTGGGCAATTTAGCAAGACTCTGTCAAAGGGAAAAAAAAAAAAAAATTATGAGGCTAGGCTTAAAAAATCTGGGATGTTATAACACTGAGATAAACAAAGTAAGTAGTATAACTTTTAAGATGGTTTCATCTGCAACACAATAAGACAGGAAAAATATGACTTCTGCATTATCTCTTCACCCTTCCTACTTAGGCTAATTTCCTCACTGAACATAGAAGCCTAACCCTACCCACTGAGCCCAATGAAGTCCTCACTCCCTCAGGAGGCAGTATGTGCCTCAGTCTCACAATTCCACACAGGAAGTCCATGCTTTAACATACCTAGTGATCTGCAAATAAATGTTTTGTTTACATCCTCCTCTTCTCCAATCCCTTCTCCTAGAAAAAAGCACCCACTCACTGTGCTCCACCTGGTAAAGGTGCTACAAGAATGGCTGCAAGCAGCTTAGAGCAGCCTTGGGCACTTTCCAGGTGAGTTCCACCAAAGAAAGGCTTGGAACATTTAGCTCTTGGGGATTTTCACTTGATTTTGCTGAAAATTTCCTCAGGAAATTCTACACTCCCCTTCACCACCTTTAGAGGGGAAAGGGATTGCAAAACAATAGGGGAAAATCCTTAACACACCAAAATAATAATTTGATAGCATCTTCTTAAATTCCTATTCAAAGTTTACAATAGCCAGACGCCATACAGTTCCTTGCTTTTCAACCACCAACCAGTCAACAAAGGTATAAAACACAATTAAACTTTATTGATTTCTTACAATCAAATACTGCCAACTAGCATTACTTGTTTTTATGCATCATTAAAAACAAAGGATCATTCCTTAGAATTTTTAAGTGATGCATTATATAACAAAATGTTAGAACTTAAAATGCACCCTGATTAATTATGTAAACTGGTAATTTTTTTAAAAAGCATAACCAATAATTTGGTTCCTTTCTTCATAAAATGGAAATGTAAATATTTCTTCTGATAGTCTTGAGGTCAGCATTATGTTATTAGTGCAAAATGTGGGTATTATAGTTTCATCTAGACAGCTGTGTATCCTATACGCCTTACTTAAACAAACAAAATGTGCATAACAAAATGCATACAGTCAATGCATGAGAGAAAGCATGTTTCAAATACATGGCAGCCCCTCAGGACATCATATTATTTAGGTTTTGCAATATCATTTATGGCATTATAGATTAATTATACATAACACACTTTTATACGTTTTAACCCTGAAGAAAAATAATTGGTACTTGAGAAAATTATTCTAGGTACCCATTTGGTTTGCATTGGGAGAAAGTGAACCTCCAAGAGTTTACTGTCTGCCAGGTGGGAACCATTAACTCTAGTGGGTAGATCAGATATGCAATATATTTCACAGTGACTGTTTCCCACATCCTGGCAATGCTGCTCCTGCCAATCAGCCAGATGGTAAAGCACATCTGGAATTACCTTTGTATGTGGTTTTCCCTTTTTTTATTTTTTCTTCTTTTCTGAATTAACCGTGTTGCTGTATTTCTTCTGATCTCTCCAAAAGCCTTCTACTTCAATTATTCACAAGTCCTTTCAGAAAATCCTCAGCTCCATAAGTGGAAGTTGTGGAGATGGATAATCCATGGGAGGAAGATTGGGTATTGGAATATCCTTGGCTTTCCCAGTATTTGCTGCAAATTTCTGCCAGGTTGAAAAAGCTGTAGCAGTGTCTGAATGTAGTGGCAAGCTCCATAATGCTGACTTTTCTTTAAAATCAGCAACAAGGGGCTGGGGATGTGGCCCAAGCGGTAGTGTGCTCGCCTGGCGTGCTTGCGGCCCGGGTTCGATCCTCAGCACCACATACAAACAAAGATGTTGTGTCCGCCGAGAACTAAAAAAAAAATAAATATTAAAAAATTCTCTCTCTCTCTCTCTCTCTCTCTCTCTCTCTCTCTCTCTCTCTCTATCTATCTATCTCTCTCTCTCTCTCTCCCACTCTCTCTTTAAAAAAAAAAAATCAGCATCAACATCCAGCTCCTTATCTACTGGACCTATTAGAAGTCTGGCTTTTTCAGCCTTTAGTGCTTTATTTTCTTTCCTTAATCTTTCATTCTCAGCCACAAGGAACTCCACATGCCTTTTCAAATCTGCAATTTTGGTTGCCTGCTTCTCAATAATTGTTTTATCATCCTTCGGGGCTTTGCTTCCAATACATGGCTGTGTTGGCTCACTCTTTTGCTGAAGTAAAAATAGCAGTGTTTCTGGATTCCTGTCAAAGACTCCATGAATTTCAGATAGGTGTTTCTCTGTACAAGGGCTGTAGTTCTGAGAAAAAAGGGGACTATGACCCTCTGCATCCTCATCAGAGGGTTTGTGAGATGCCTGAATATGGGTAGGTACATCCTTGTCTGTTTTCTGAGCTTTTGATTGTTCTTCACACTTTGCCCTTTTCCACCTCTCCTGGATGAGGAGGAGCTGTTTCATGTGGCTATCCCTTTTTAATTCCAGTGATAAATGAGCCTATTTCACAAAAGGAAAATTACAATTTGCAGAATTTAATATTGGAAATCTTTTACTGTTAATATATCCTATTCCAAGAGCCTTTCTGACTTAACACTTAAAATTTTTATACTGTTTGAAATTTAGTAAAGATTCAATAACAATATCAAAATAACATAAATTAGAGAAAGGTATATTTTTTTTTACTTAATTGAAAGCACCATTTATTAAGTCAAAATCCTAATCTCAATAATTCAGACTTTTTCTGACTATGCCTTACACTTCCTCCATCTGCAATGCCATGCCATTTGTAATCATCTTAGAATTGGAGAAATCCTTTCTATTTAGACCTCAGTTCTATAGTAACCAAAACGAAGTCTTCCTGTTAACAGATTTAGAAAGCTCAATGCAGGCAGATACCAATAGCAGGTTCTATAGTATCAAAGACACAAAGATAAATATCCTACGATTCAGTGTTAAGAAGCAAGTGGGTTTTCCCTGCCACTGATATCCCTCTCAGAAATTATCTCCTTATTTCAATTAGACATATATGTACTAAGTACTTCCTAGGTACCTGACATTTTACAATCAAGAAATCAGAAGCCAGGTTTGGTGGCACATGCTTATAACCCCTGCTACTTAGGAGGCTAAGGCAGGAGAATCACAAATTCAAGGCCAGCCTGCAGAACTTACCAAGACCCTGTCTCAAAATTTAAAATAGGGCTGGTGATGTAGCTCAATGGTAGAGCACCTGTCTATCATGTACAAGGCCCTGAATTCAACTCAGACCACTGTTAAAAAAAGAATATTTAGATAAAGGTATTCTTAAACCTTAACAAGCCTTACCCTAGCATAGAAAATAAAAGTCACTGGTAAAGCAAATTTTGAAGTTAAGAACTTTTTAACATAAGGCAGGGGGCATAGTGGTACAAGAAGCCTGTAATTCCAACCATTTGGGAGACTTAGGAAGATCACAGTTCAAAGCCAACTTGGGAAACTTAACCAAACCCTGGTCACAAAATAAAAATAAATGAAAAGGGCTGGAAGGATGTGGTCCACAGGTAGAGCACCCCCTAGGTTCAATTACCAGTACAAGGAGGAAGTCAAAAATAAAGAAAAAAAAAAAAAAACAATTGTCTAAGAATTCAAGAACAGACAAATGGGAGACTTCATATTTAAAAAATCTTCAACAAGCAGATTTATCCAATTGGATCCAGGCATGGTGGTGCACACATGCAATCCCAGCAGCTCAGGAGCCTGAGGAAGGAGAACCACAGTTTCAAAGCCAGCCACAGCAACTTAGGGAGGCCTAAACAACTTAGCAAGACCCTGTCTCTAAATAAAAAATAAAAATAGCTGGGGATATGGCTTAGTGGTTAAGCGCCCCTGGGTTCAATACCAGGCACCAAAACAAACAGCCCAATGATGGTCAAATATAAGCTACTAACAGGATGCAAGTTTCACCATGCTTAAAAGAGCAGGAATGAGGTTGGGGGAGAAGGTTGTTTCTGCATGCCATGATATCAACACTTCACTTAGTTTGCACATTTTACATATTTTTAATATAGCACTTAAAGACCTACATTTGATCCCCCACCATCAAACAAAAACAGAAACTCTGCAGATTTTACAATTAAAGAACTTAAAGATCTTACAAGCAGTAACGCTATGATTAGTGTTTGGAGGGTTTTTTGCTACAATACTGGTGAATGATCCCAGTGACTAAACAAGGGTTAGAGCTCTTCCACTGAGCTATATCCATAGCCCTTTATACTTTGAGATAGAGTCTTGCTAAATTTCTGTGATTGACCTGGAACTTGTGATCCCCCTGCCTCAGCTTCCCCAGTCTCTGGGATTACAGGCATTCAATACCTTAACTGGCAGGTTCTATGCTTTAAAATCCCTATGGAAGGGCTGTGGATGTGGCTGAGTGGTAGAGTACTTGCCTAGCATGTGGAGTCCTACATTTGATCCCCACCATCAGACAATAACAGAAACCCTGCAGATTTTACAATTAAAGAACTGAAGATGATTTCATTTGAAAAATAATGTTTAGGGAGGATTAAAAAGTAATAAGAACCAGGCAGGTATAGTAGTGTATACCTGTAATTCCAGCAACTCGGGAGGCTGAGGCAGGAGGATTGGAAGTCTGAGGCAAGGCTGGACAAATTAGACTTTGTCTCAAAAAAATACAAAAATAGCTGGAGTTATTGCTCAGTGGTAAAGCATGCCTGGCTCTGTTCAATTCCCAGTACTTAAAAAAAAAATTAAAAACCTGTTAGGTACTTAGTCCAAAATAATTCCCATTTTGAAAATTAGCACCTGGCAACCAAGAATGGCCTTCCTTTTAGGCCCACCCCCAAAGACTCCCTAACTACTAAAACCAGAGCAAAGGTACCAAATAACAATCACAGGGTTTTTTAACTACTCCCTTGTACCTGACTATATATTTAAAAGACATTTTTTCCAGCAGGCTGCTGTGCCTTGCAGAAGGGCAGTCTAGTAGATATTCTCTGTCAATAAACCTTTGCTTGAACTCAGATGTATGTCTCATGAATATTTGCTCCAGCTACCCTAACAAAACCTTTCAGACCAGGTGCAATGACAAGCACCTATAATCCCAGCAGCTCTGGAAGCTGATGCAGGAGGATCTGAAGTCCACAGCCAACCTCATCAACTTAGCAAGGCCTTGTCTCTAATAATAAAAAAAGAACTAGGGATATTGCTCAGTAGTTAAGTACCCCGAGTTCAATCCCAGGTACTAAAAACAACAATAACCACAAATCTCTGATCTCAGGATCAAACTCTGGGTGACTTAATTTGAAGAAAATCCTTACTTTTCCTCTTTTGGTTGATTGCTAGGAGTCTGCTATGGTTTGAATCTTAAATGCCCCAGGAAGCCCAAGTTTAGAACATTTGCTCCCCAGCTATTGGCACCATGGTTAGGTATTGGAATCTTTAATGGGTAGGGCTTAGTATGAAGTGAGCAGCTTTGCTCTACCACATATTTCACCATGATGTTCTACCTTGCCACAGGCCCAAAACAACAGGGCCAATAAAACATGAATTGAAACCATGAAACCATGAACCCATTAAACCTTTCCTCCTTTCAAGTTGAATCTCTCAGTTATGAAAATCTACAAGAGAAAATTGGTAACAATAAGCAGCAAAGTCTTTGCTATGACTATACCTGATAGTGGCTAAGAAATCTTTTAAATTGAGATGGAGGAGGTGTCATGGCTTAGAAATGTTGACTACAGAAAGCTTGTAATGTTGTAAACAGCTTAAAGTGCAATTCTGGTGCGAACTCAGAAAACCAGAATGCTGATAAGAATGTGTAAACTAAAGGCCAAGCTCATGAGGTTTCAAACAGAAATAAGGACCCTACTGAGAACTGGACTAGAGGCCATTCATGTTACATTCTGGAAAAAAACTAGTCTACATTTTATGTATGCCAAGATTCTGTGAGGCTGAATTTGAAAGAGATGGACTAATTAACTTGGTGGAGGAAATTTCAAGGCAGTGGTCTGTGTTTAGCTTTCAATTAATATACCATTGAGAATGGGAACAAAAAAGAGAAAAGAGAGATTTAAAAACTTCAGTTTAGACAGAAAAGTAGAACCTTTAAAGTTGTGGCCAAATAAGGTACCACTGCTAAAGAGATCAGTGCCATCAAAAAGAAGCTAAGGACTTTGCGCCTCAGGAATCAGCAAGACCCATCATAGATTCAAAGACTTCTGTTTGATAAGAGAGCCCAGGGGAGCCCTACTCCCACAGAGTCAGGTAATTGTTTTCCTTGTGTTCATCTTTCAAAGGAATCAGAGTCTGCCATAGCTGTGGTCTAAGCAGGCCATCTACTGCTCCAGCTGGTAGCATACCTTGTCATCCATACAATGGTGCTTTTGCAAGCACGAAGAATACAGGAGTTATTACATGGGATCCTGGGGGATCCCATCAAGACTTCAATCAGCATGTGACAGTCAAAGCCCCTGCCAAGTAGCCCTTGAAAAGGCAATGTGTGAAGCTGTGAGAGTGAAGCTAAAGCTGCAATGGAGACCCCAGTAAGTCAGAGATACCAGGAATGGAGAATGCCTGCCAAGGGAAGTCACAGGCAGAGAGTAAAGCCGGCCAGAGTGAGTGGCCACATGCACTACAGTTGGCAAAACCAGGAACAGGGCTGCCTAAACCCTTTGGAGTTCACATCATATCACTGTGTCCCAAATGCAGCACATGAAGCTACAGAACTCAGTATTTGCTCTGCTGGGTTTCCGTCTTGATTTGGTCAAATCCCTTCTTTCTTTCTATGGTCCTATTCCTCCCATTTGGAATGGGAATGTCTATCCTATGCCACTGAATGTTACAAGTATGTAACTTGTTAAATATTCCAGTGGCTCACAACCAAGTTTGCCTTGAGTCTCAGAGTAGACTTTGGATTTGGACATTTGAGTAATAAATGGACTGTTAAGACTTTGGAGACTCTTAAAGATAGAATGAATGCATTTCATTTCATGAGATGGACATAAGCTTCTGGGGGACAGCAGCAGAATGTTATGGTTTAGAACTTGAATGCCCCCTTGAAGGCTCATGTGTTGACGGTTTGATCCCTAACTGATGGCACTATGAGGAGGGAGATAACAAACTCTGTGGAAGGGGATGTGAAACAGAAGGAAGTTGGGCCATGGAAGGCATGACCTTGAAGGGGATACTGGCACCAGCTCCTTCCTCTCCCTCTGCTTCTCAAGGCCATGAGATGAGCAGTTTTCTTCACTACAAACTTCCTACCATTAAGTTCTGCTCACTGAAGGCCAAAAACGTGAGGCCAAAAATGATGGGTCTGAATGACCATGGACTGAAACTCTGAATTTTTTTTAAAGAGAGAGTGAGAGAAAGAAAGAGAGAGAGAGAATTTTTCAATGTTTATTTTTCAGTTCTTGGTGGACACAACATCTTTGTTGGTATGTGGTGCTGAGGATCGAACCCGGGCCACACACATGCCAGGTGAGTGTGCTACCACCTGAGCC